GTCAGGTTCACGCACATTACATGATACATCAGCCCATATATATACCAAATGGTCCATTTCACTCTTTGAGTGTGAATGTAGAGCTCCTATCATACCAGCAATGATGCCCAAAAACACTGATATAAAAATGATCTAATGTAAGGTAAAAACCAAATTAGTGTTTCACACGTATGCTTCAACCCCTTATTCTACAATTCCATAGAGACTACTAAAACCAAATCATGAAGACAAGTAGAAACTTAAAATTTAAAACAAAAAAAAAAAAGAGAAAGAACAAAAGCAAACACCATCGCTGCCCCTCCGACGCCTAATACAGGTGCATGGCCAGGCTAATTACTATGTACGAGATCAATTGAAAATAATTAAGAGATACAACATTCCTCATTAGTTAATTATTCAGGAAAGAGAAGGGGAAGTGAACAATGCTGGATAGAGCTCCCTTTACTTTCCTTTTACATCACAAAGTTACTTACACCAAACTGCGAATAACAGTACTAAGAAGTGTACATCAGTTTGTGTAGCTTTTAGCAACTCTAAGAAGTATACTTGTACAAAATTTGCAATGTGCTTCAGAAATTATCAATGAAAAAAAGATGAAAAAGCTCAAAGTTTTTCTTCATTACCTAGGACTACTTCAGTAAAAGCATGCAATATCGTTGCTTAAAAAAATCAGATTTTACAGGATCAAAATTCTGACACAGATAATCTAGTCTCATAAATTGTTGTCCGTGCAAGGGAGCTTAATTGCTAGCCAAGCAGCATTTCTTAATGGTCAGAAAAGGCACTCACATCTTCTTCTGAACTTCGGCGCTTCTTCTTCCCCTCCCCGTGCCTGGATCGCCTTGGTGCCTCATCCTCGTCTTCACTTTCACTCTCTTCATTTCTTGTGTTGTTTCCAGAGGCAAATTGATCATCTTGGCAGAATCTTGATCCATTTTGTTGGCATTGTGTGTCATCATCTGGTCCTGCACCAGTACTAGCCACGTCTTGACTCCTTCCTTGTTCTGGACCTGTACTAAATCTCTCATTTCGATCATTAGTTGGCATCCTCTGGTCTCTCTTGGCAGCACGAGCAGTGTTTTGAGAGTGGGGCGGAGGTGGTTGAAACATAGGAGGCATGTTAACTGGCCTACCGGCCCGAGCAACACTTGCAGCTGTAGGCCCTATTCCTCCCATCATGGAGGGCCGTCCTGGGCCCATCATCATTCCAAAACCACCAGGAGGGAAGACAGCCCCAGGTTGTGGAGGTCTCCCATGAAACAACATGCCAGACATGGGACCCGTAAAATCGCCAGAGAATCTGGGGCCATATGGGCCAAAAGCTCGAGGACCCACGCTGAAAAGATCTGGTATTCCAAAACCATCAGGTGTAACAGGTCCATAAGAAAACCCATCAGCACCCATCATTCCAGGGGGAAAACCTCGCATGCCCGGAATTGGCCTGGCACCACGTGCTAGTGGCATTTGAGGAGGCCACATCATTCCTCTGCCTCTTCCTCTTCCATGAGATGCAACCCCAAAGTTCTCTTCTTCCTCTTCACTTTCTTCTTCTTCTTCTTCCTCATTGTCCTCAAATGGAACAATGTCTGGGTTCTCACCCCCATTTTCTGGATTAACTCCCTTTGCTTTCTCCTCTTCTCGTTTTGATTCTGCTGCAAGTGACATTGCCTATACTCGAACAAAAGATAAATTGTCCAACAGATTCAGCAGATTGTACACATCCAACAAAATAATGGAAAATAGCCAGTATAAGAACTTGGGAGAAAAAGGAGAAAAATATCACTTAACCAAATTTTCAGAAAGCTGAGATGCTCCAAGAAAATGCATTTCTAAGCAATTAAATTCAAGAGAATTTTTAGCAGAAGAAAATGAGGAAAAGGGATGATTTTTCTTAACTAATCTCCAACATCTAACTGTAAATATCAGAACTTAAATTCATTCCACCAATTCTTGGTTCTCAAAGTTTATAATTCCTTGCTTATGGTATCTCATTTTTCCTTCAGACAACAAAAGTGAACTGCATTAGAGCGCAAGAATCTTGAAGAAAGTGGGATATTAGCTATAAAGCAAGCTTATTATTTAAAAGTTTAGAAGGATAGAAGGGAACTTGAAGAGATTTTTCTCGAAAGAGGAAACTCTAAAGAATTAAAACGGAAACAAGCTTTTAGTAATCCTCATATAACTATCCTTTCTGAATAGAAAAATGGCAAACAAATAGTCAACAACGGATGGAAGTGTAAGATGACATGCAAAAAGACACATACGAGCACGCACTAGAACATGGCCAAGAAACTCAAAAACACAGACAAAATTACCAAATATTCTTATATGGAGATGCATTCCCAAGGAAGTGGATCCTGCTCTAATAGCCCAGAACAAATTAATACACGATTAAGATATGAAACTTCTTATTCCACACCAATGAAAACAATTCTTCACTTTTTCTTGTACTAAGAGACTTCATTTGAGAAAGAAAATATTCCACATTAATAGATTCGAGTCCATAACCATGGATGCCAATGCACAAGATCTCGTAGTATTTACCAATGAAACCCTATCAATTAATCCTACACAGAAGAAATCAATTATAGACACTAATACAATTACATCTCAGGTAAGATCAGACTTAGTTCCCCTTTTATTCATTTTGTCCATTATGTAAGCCTCTTCCAAAGTTATTTAATGTTTCTCAAGTTTGTAAATTATATGAGAACAAAGCCAAAAATTAGCACATACCATAAGTTCACTATCTGGTTCAAGATAAAGCAAGGAAGCCAACTGCTCACCAATGGAGGGCTCTAACTCCTGACAATCTCTACTTATCTGCAAGAGTCAAGCAACAAAAGTAAATCTAAAATATATCTACTAGAGTAAGATATACCATAAATTTATAAGACAACGACTTGAAACAAAAGAAGATGTAAAGTTTTAGATATACGTTTGGTAGAATCATGGAAAATTAAAAATAAAAAATAAAAAGAAAAGGAAATAGTGATGTACTGACTTTTTCTTTTACTAAAAGAAATAAGTTACATTAGAGGGAATAGAAGAAAGAACATCAATGGAGGATAAGAGGATTTCCAAAGAAAAGAATAAAAACAAACCTAAACAGAAAACTGCTGTCCAATCTCTTTGCAAATAGTCAAAGAGATATCCTATACTGCCCATGAGTTTTAGCCCAAATAGAGACACTTAAAAAGTCATCCTATATCACAGTAGCTAAGTCATATGTTAACATATAGGTTAAAGAACTCAATGGAGAATATGGAGCCTTAGACCAAAGTAAATCTGGAAGATATGTCGTTTTTTTTTCTTCTTTAGTTGGTTAAATGTCTTTCATGAACATGATGGCCTTTGGGCATGCCACCTATATGCAAGAAGGCTGCCAAAAATGTTACAATTTTTTTTTCAGTGCCAGTAATTATAGATCTGGCTGGAGGAAAGTAGAAGCCTCCACAATTGTACAGCAATTGTGGTCCAAACATGTGATAAAAAATTGGTTCTGTATCCATTATAAGCTATCTACCATATTAAACTGG